ACAACAACAACCACAACAACCAACATCAACAATCACAACAACAACAACAACAACAACAACAACAGCAAGAATAACAACAAGAACAAGAACAACAAGAACAATAACAGCAACAACCACCACAACAACCACAACCACAGGCACAACCACCAGCACCAGCACCACAACAACCATCATCGCCACCACAACCAAAACACATAATGTGGGTATGCATTTCTTGTTTTCCAATCCAAGCTGTGCCGCTATTTGGAAGGATGAGCAAGAACATCGGGACAATCCAGGTCTCCAACAGCATCATTAGTACAAGCAACAGGTCGAAAATGAACCAGGGATCTTTGACTGCCTTGATCGTACTCGCGTATGCCATATACCGCAGAAAGGCCTCTCCCACAAAGTAGATCACAAAAATTATCTCAACAATGATGAATATTGGCTCTGCTTGCCAAACCACATCCGCATTGTTGAATTCAATGTCGACAGCTAGCCACATTGCATTGAGGTAGATCATCAGCAATGACACGCGTTCAAAAACCGCATGTTGCACGATTGTTGTCCATTGTGTTTCGGCTGGCGCATCGACAAGGTTGTTGTCAAATTCTTCAATAGCTGCTTGTCGAACCTTGTCCGTAGCAAACTGAGCATGCAGCTGTGAGAAAACCGGCTGCGTAGTTCTCGGAGCCTTCGCTGCCTTGGGCAAGTCCGCATTCTTGTGAATCCAAGACATGTGCTTCCGACGCTCTTTCTTCACCGTGGCTGAAAGACTGTTGAAGGCCACTGGTGATTGGATCGCACTCTGCAATGGATCAAAATGCGCTGCTTGCTCGGGGCCGGCTACCACCTCAGGAGGCTCCGGAGCATCCCATGCTTTTATCGCCTCCAACCTGGGCATACCCTTCGACACTCCTGGTTCCAGCACCTGCGTAGGCAAATGATCCACAGCCTCTGGAATATCAAGCTGCTCTAGCCGCTTGAGCTCGGCATCCAGTTTTTGCACCAATTGCCGCTGAGCATCAAGTACATTCATCTTGAAGGACCTCAAGCCTTGACAAACTCCGTCAAGCTCTGCTTTACACATGGTCCTTGTTTCCATGGCTGCAAGGAGGTCCTGATCTCACGCTCCCGCTTGAGCTGAGCATTGGCGCACTTGGTCAGCTGGAGTCATCATGCAGCTGATTTGCTTACACATTGCGGGCGACATCTTTAGAGCCACCATCCACTACTGGGTGACCACCAAGGTCTCGTGCTTTTGCCTGACCTGTGAACTGCGCGCTGGCGCAAGACTTTTGCATCCCGACGCCGCCTGAGGTCTGCAAACCTATGTGAAAAAAGCAGGGAAAATGGATACAAAGCACCTCGTAAACCTCTCGCCAACGCCGGAAGCCTTTGCCCACACTTTGTTCTTCTGCCAGAACGGTTTGCAACGTGGTGATTTGCCTGTTCGCCTTGACAAAAACGTGTTACAGGTGGTTGTCCAGGGCTCTTGCTGAGGTTATTTGTGAGCCACCGTTCAGCGCTCACTGGCCAGGATCTACAAGAACAAGCTGTCCTAGTGATAAAATGAACTCCTTCATACTTGTAGCAAAAACTCTTTGGCTTTGGCCGGGGTTGTGTCGGAAGACGAGGGGCAATCTCACAATATCCGGCGGGATGGACACCTGCCTGAGGCCGGCTCGCAGGATGAGGTTCCACAGTGCATCGAAGGAGGTGACGGAGCAACACAGCAATGCAAGAATCGGCAAACTACGGTGTGTTGCCACTAATGCAGCTTAACCTATTTGCCCCACTTCAGAGGTGATAGCTGGACTACTACTTGCCGAACGCAAAGTACCACGGGGCACATGGCATCCTCATCAAAGTCTTCAAGGTGCTGGTCAGTTCTCATGTCCCTCTATCATGGCCTGTGGCGCTTCAACCCACCAGGGCGGTGACCCTCGGCCCGTCGGCGCATGCTGCAAATTGCTGCTGAGGTCTTTTTGCGCAAGGCGCCCCGAACTCAACTCTCATTTGCCATGTCTGCCCTTCATACTAGCTATGTACTAGTTGAAGCTTCCACACTGCGCTGAGCCGAGGCCGCGTCTCTGCTCTTGTTGGCAGACTTGGCACTGCTCCATATTTCGACACCTCAGCAGAGGCAGGCAACGTCAGTTGCGGAGGTTTGCTAACTGTTCAATCGCTTGCCACAGAAATGACAACGCAGGTTGTTTCTTTGTCCTGGGATGGGATAGAAAATCTTTAAAACCTGCTTTCAAGAGCAATTCGGAGGTCAACTCGCTGACTTCCTAATTGGTGCCAACCAAACTTGTTGAGCTTGCTCAAGTCAGACAAACCTTGTAGAGAGGGCTTGCGCAGCGAAGCTGGGCACCTTCAGAACTCCCTGACAAACATCGGAAAGTGCATCCTTGCTGCTTTGCAAAGGTTTAGAATACTAAAGCTGGCTACGACAAGGCAAGTCTCTGAGAGTGTGGTGGGCAGGCAGTCCAATGCGCTTCTAGCTGCCTTTCGCTGACCCGCTGAGCTCGCATAATGATTTCCTATCAGACTCGCGGGTTCACACAAGGAAGAGTCCCACATCAGACAATGCTGCGGTATGCAAAACTTTGGTCTGTACTACAAAGTCTGTACTACAGGATTTCTGCCCGACTCTCTGAGAAGCCCGGCTGTCAGCGCACCGGCAGCTGCAGCAAATTTCATGCATTCCTCGCCAAGACACAACAGAATCAGGATGATGTTTAAGTACTCTAATGGCATGCCCCGTTAAAGATGCCAGCAGAATTTATGCAGAATCAGTTTCGGGCAGTCGTCGACTGCATCTCAGCAGAACAAAGCATCCAGCGCAACTCCATGCAGCAAAGCGTGCATCCAGCGAGCTGTTCACTACGCCGTCTTCTTTTGAGGCCGCACTTGGCTTCTTGATCTAATATGTCCTTGAACCCGGAGGGCGCCTAGCTTGTACTTCGAGGCGCCCTCTTCTGACACTCGCGGTCTTGGAGTAACTCTTCGTGATATCATCTGGTGTTTGTAGCACAGCTCTAGCAAATGCAACTGCGGCTTAGCTGTCACTGACGCAGCAACAGCCTGCTGCCACGGCTGCCCTTGTCAACATGATGACAATGCTGATGTGTTGATGACTGTGAAAATCCCCTCCTGCAGCGGCTTTCCCTCTACCAGCGCCACGGCAAAGGCCGCGCGGAAGCAGTCGCCCGCTCCTGGGTTTGCGCAGGGCGAACTCATTTCTTGGCGCTTCGAACTGTAGCAGGCTTGCTATCTTTGTGGACTCCGCGATGATGTAGCCCAAGTGCCAAAATTAAGTGAGTGCGCTCGGCCCTGGCTAGACTGGTTAGACCTATGACGAAGAATTCCGGGCGGGGGGCCTTCTTCGTGAGTTCACCTACACATTCCAGACAATTGCCCATGTTTACCCCAGCTTCCAACCACGGAGGGCTGGTAAGCTTTTCTGGCGTTCAGTCAAGTGTGAGGGGACCGAAAGGCTGAGTCAGGCTCAATGCAACGCCGACGGCACATATGGCTCCAAGCGGTTTGCCGAAAATGTTTAACATGCTGAGTGCTTGCCAGTGTATTGAGGTTAGGTCCATTGCCACTCCTGCTCCTTCTTCCTTCTGGTGCTGCTTCAGCTCAACCACTACTGCTGATGCGCTGGGACTTGGGCCCGTGGTGTCCACGACTTTCCCGCCGGGCCTTAGAGGAACGACCCAACATGCCGCAGGTTTTCCCCGGGGTTTCTCGCTTGCGCTGCAGGTTTTTCAGGATTGCATAAGCTTTTACATGGGTGGCATTTGCAAGAGTGAGACTGGCCTAGAAGTGTCCCCTGAGCTCAGAAACTCACCCGTTTGGATTTGTGTGAATATCAAGGGTTGCGAAGTGTAACCATCTGGAAGAATCTTAGTACTGCGGTTTAAGACATAGCCAGGTCCAAAGTCTAGTCAGTCCAAGTGCAAGCACTCTGGTCCAACCAAAAGCACACTTGCATACACCTGCTCTTGCTTAAGCAGAATCTGTTCGGGCTGCATGGCGTGCGCGTGCTGACATCATCAGCTTCCATCCCGAACGAGGCGTCGCAAACATGGTTTGCCAAGTTGTCCCAAACATGGTTGGCCCACACAGGATCTACTGAACATGGCCTCGAGCCTTGGCAACTCATACAATGAACGGTTGTAAGCTGGACACACGGGAAAGCTGGCTTGTCGGAGAACCTCAGGTGTCGCCAGGGTGTTTTGTTGAATGCATGAATTCACGGAGCACGTGATATGAAGTCACGTGACATGCCCTGGCACTTGGCCTGTTGTGCCTTGCCTGGACTTGATTCATGACAAGGAGCCTTGCCCTCGGCGGTAACCAGCACAGCCCCATCCGATCCTCAGAGTACTTGGGGTGAACATGTGCTCTGCTCCTTCTCCGCATTGCCTGGGACCAGTGCCCTTCACGTTACCCAGCTTCTGCCGACTATGGAGCCTGCATTCCAGAACCTCTCCTGGTACCCAAAGTTCGATAAAGGATCAGTAGTCTGAGAAGCATCCGTAAAGTGAGAGCATGGATTTCTTTTTGGCCGCGCAGCTCTGTTCGCAGCAGGCAAACGACCGCTTTTGCAAGCCGCCGAGCAAACCCTCACACAACTGCTCCACAACCAATCCTTGAAGCATGCAACCGCTGTTTTAGCACTGCTTACCTAACATATTTCGATACTGGTTAATCTGTGCCGTGCCCGTTCTGGATGGCAATAAGCACATTTGCTGACGAATGGAGAGTCCGACGTAGGCTCCCCACTCCGCCCTGCCATTTGGCCCTCTCTCTGCTGCCAGCAGCGTGTCAATCTCAACAACGTTGCTTCATGTTTGTATTGTGTGGGCTGCTCCGTGTGCTGATGTGCGACGCTGGCACAGACATTGATAGAGGCTGGCCGCTTCGGCGGCTCAGTTGTACACCATGTACTTGGGGGTGGCAGAGAACTTGGAGTAGCCTTTGATGACCTGAGTTCTTGACTCTCTTGGGTGACATCAGAATGCAGGCTACAACTTCGACTTCCCATTGCAGGGAACCAATGTGGATGTGTAGTTATGTCACAAAGGATCTTGTTTCCCGCTGTGCATGTCGGGATTCGCAAAGTTGTGGATGTCGGGATATAGCCAAGTTGCCTTGTTGATGGCATCTATCAAGTCTTTTTCCTGTGCTGCGAGCATTGCAAGATCAGTTAAAAGCCACGTCTGGCATGTGAAGCAGACGCCAAAGTCGCTCTTGCTAAGCAAAAGAAAGGCTCCAGATTATTATTGCCAGCCACAGCCATAATTACCACGGAAGCAAGGCCACAACAAGCACTGCCAAACAATTCTCATCAGAAGGAACTGCTGCTTCTCTGGCTTTCCCTGTTTCTCGCAGTAAAGAAGTGCCACCATAACATCCAGCTTCAGCTTCGCACCCCACACAGTTTCTTATCCGAACTGCTTTCAACAACCTTCAGCCTTGTGCTTCTTACTACATGGGCAGTACCATTTGACCTTGTATGAACAGCACTCCCGTTGACCAGGCAACATGCAACACAGTTCGCAAACATTGCAGTCAAAGGCTCGGAGATACTTTTCCGGCGGGCTCGGATTGCGTACATCCCCGCTTCCGTGCAAACGCTGCGGCATTCGGCTCCTGGTGCTCAGGAGCCATGACGCTTTGCTGGATTAGTGCAGCAGGCATGCATGCTTCTTTTGATGCAAACATTACTCATGGACTTGCAACCGAAGCTTTACTACCACTCCCGCGGCCCCAGCCTGTAGTATTGGGGCAAAGCCGGGCTAGGAGCTCAAATCGCACGTCTCTGTCGATAGCCATTGTCCTCAGGAGTATCGCAACATCTTTTGCTCTGTCTGTAGCGCTGCGCAAAACACTCTCAACCCAGCCATTGGCGTGCGATGCCCTCAGACTCACAAACAAGGGTCTTGGCGTGAATCTTGAAGATGTGCGTGCGACCTTCCAGGTCGGGCAAGCCGAATTCGATCTTGCGGTCCAGACCTGAGCACAGAAACCCCCGAACTGCCAGTGAAGGTAGATTCGGCTTTACGAGTGGACGCTTCAAAGCTGATTACTAAGCATGATAGATCGGCATATCCCACTTCCCCAACGCGTTCCTTCCTATCGTGATCCAAACTCTCCAGGCTGTTGTCTGTGCCTTAGGTCCTGGCGGCCAGGTCTCAGCAATGCTGGGTCCAAGGTATCAGGTCGGTTTGTCGCCATGAGGACCTGGCCAGCTTGCCATTGTGGACATGCTTTGGCCCAGTTGTGCTTGGGGAGAAGTGCAACAAAGCCTGCTATAAAGTGACACATCTCTCAAAGGCGGCATGTGCTTCACTGTCTATGCTATATCCAAAATGGACTTTGCACAGGTTGCATCATGCGTGCAACTTCCAGCCATTGTGTGCCAAAAGTGCAAGCTTTCTGCATGGAAGTTGGGCAACTCACGAGCAAAGAGTACTGTTTTTTGACATCTTGAACTCATCCTGATCAGTTTTCATGAAGCCGGACGCATCGGGATGTAGAGCTGAAGAGGCCTGCCATATCGGCACTTACCGGCACCCATGTCGTGGTGTCAAAGCCGGCCACCTCCGCTTATGGAGCATGTCCTGCTGCACTTCCCGGCCATATCCGAAACACTTCCGGAGCATCTGCATTGAGAACTCAAAGTCTGAGTCGGGCATGGGCAAGATCGGGCAAACCAAGGAGGCTTTTGGCATCCTGTTCCTGCCTGATGCTTGAAGGAATTCAGCTTCAATACCTGATCCAACAGCCAAGATATCAGCGATAACATAACGGTAGCATGTTGTAAAATTTTGTGCTAGAATACTACTGTTTCGCAGCAGGTTTTAGAGTCAACTGCTGCTCGTCCTGACAAAATGGAACCTTTCTCTTGCGATATTGAAGTTGCTAGGTAATGGGAAGAGAGGCTCCTGGCGATGCCGGGGCCACAAAGGGATCATGGCGGAAGTCGCATCGTTGACATGGGCGATGTTCGGCTGTGGTTGAAGCCGTATGAGCCGGAAGTCGTGAGGTGTTTCTCAGCCTGCTGGCCCCCGCATAGCCGCAAATGGAAATCGAAGAGCTCTTGTTGACATTAAGCTAGGGCTGCGCACGTGGTAAAGGACTGATCAGGAGGGTCGTGGATTTGCAAGCGCAGGGAAGTGTTGACCAGCACGCAGCTTGGGCAGAATGAGCCTGCGGCGGTTGGCCAGGAAAACGTGCACCTCGATGTTCGGAAGCTCCAGCTGTCGCTTCGAAGTATGACATCACGGCGTCGCTCTCCCGGCGGGCAAAGCCTGCCATCCACTTGAGACTCCAGCGTGTACGGCCTCCTGCGCATGCTGGAGGAGATCCTGCTTCCTCGTGTTACTTGGACTGTCATGTGGTAGGCGGTTCTGCTAACTCTACACGACACGAAAAACAAAGCTCTGGTAGGCTGATAGTGCCAAGTCTCTCTTCAAGGGACAACGCGTCATCCACCATTTGTCGTGGATCCAAGTCCAAGCCATGGTAGTGATCATGGTAAAGGACTTCGCGATACGAGACCTTATATTGCTGCATGCGCAAGGAAAAAGATTGGTTTTCGTTGTAAGCAGCTGGCCATGGCTGTTTTGTCTTGCCTATGAATACGTATGTCACAGGGACACCGCATGCAAAAAGCATCGCCAAATAGCTATGCAAGGGGCCACGCGTCGCCAGAACCCTGAGATTTGATCTGCACGAACCACTTCAATGCCATGCTGTCTCGCCCAGGATGTCAGCACGAGCTCCACGTGAACAGGCTTGAAGTAGCTCCAAGAGAGCAAAGAATACTCGCCCCTGCACAGGGGCAAAAACCCAACTCTGTCACCTGCTTGACTGTCTGCAACACTACTCATGTTGGCAATCCGTCCTGAGAAGGTGCAAGACAGCACCCAAAGAACAGCCAACGGACAGCATCGTGATTGCCTGACCTGTGCAGAGAGATCGAAGCGAACGGTCTTTCTCACATGTTCTCATATTGCCCGGTCACCCCCTTGCTTCACAAGCGCTTCACAGTTCGAGCAGGGCTGCTGTACTGCTCGCTCAGGTTCCCGGGGGATTTTGCCGGATTGAAAGGGATGGACAGTCCAATCTCTGGTGGGAGGTAGGAGTGCACTATCTCCATGTGCACAATGAGCGGCGAGTACCTTGCAAGGGCAGAGCAAAAAGGCAAACTTGTTTGTGCCAGCCCTTGCTCCAGCACACATTTCTACTCAGCTAGCTTGCAAGTGGTTCAACAGGCTCGGGGAAAACTTAGCCAGAATTGAGTCAGCAAAGGTCTTCGCTCAAGATCAAAAAAGGCCCAGACCCCGCTTGCATCCATGCAGCAAGGAAATCACAATCGCCGTTGTCCTGCAATGCAACGGGCAGGGTATGTCGCTGTTGCAGCTTAAGGCTTTGGGATGTTTGCACGGCAGAGCCGCATTGAGCACATATGTGTGCATATGAATCTACACACACATTTCTTGAAAGGGACCACTCTGCTGCTAGGGATTCCCAAAATAGGGAGCCCTGATTTCCAGAATCCCTCTGTCTCTAATTTCCAGAATGCCCCTGTCCACATCAATCTTCAGAAGTGCCGGAAAGTGTTGGTGCCGCTCTGGTACGCGTTCGAGCCTGGGTTTGGGTTTGGGGCTTCAGGGTCAGCACCTACCTTGCTGTAGGAGGCTTGATGCCCAGGGGCAGTAGCTCCACAAAACGGCTTGGGCTCGCCAACTCTTCAATCACGACTACCTGCAACTTGAGGTGGTGCAAACAAATGTGCATGCTTAGGGCATTCACTGGACGTGCTTGTGTGGCGTGCGCGGCAGGCCTCTGGACGGCGGCCAAAGCGGCGCCGTAGATCCTCCGCCATCTCTGGATCGATCTGCATCCGCTGGACAACATTTCCACTCTGGTTTTGCTTTTTTGACTTCTGGTTCCTAAGCTAGCTATGGAATAAGTACGTAGCTCACGAAGCAGCTTCTGTCAGCCAACATGGGACTTCAAGCGTCCAGGATTTCATTGAACTGAACTGGATTCCCTCTGATCGCGGACTGTGCACAGTTTTTGGCTTTCTCGACCGCCTTGCCTCAAACAGGATGGCCCCAAAGTCACCTGCTGGGACAAAATCACAATAGCCAAGTCGAACGTGTGAGCTTGCAAAGGCAGGGACTAGAACAGAAAAAAGATGATGCAACAACTGAGAGTCTGAGAAGACATGGCAACCTGCAACTCAAGCACAACTGCTAGCAACAGGCGGAATCAAGCCCCTTTTGCTTTGGTTTGCCCTTGCCCAGCCTGATTGCTGAAGGAGGCAGTTCGCAGGGTCATGCCTGCAAAATACGCTCTTGCTT